TCCGCCTCCGCCTCCGCCTCCTCCTCCGTCCTCCTCCTCTTTCTGCTTCTTCTCCCTCCCCCCGTCGCCACATGGACCGACGCCGCGGTGGTGGGGGGGGGGGGGGGGCGCGGCCCGGAGATGTCGCCGAGGCCGCACAGCCGAGACCTCGCGGGCGGAGGAGAGGGGAGGGGGCGCGGGGGGCAGACGAGCGGAGGGAGCGCAGAGGGCGGATCGGCAGGGCGAGGGGGCGAGGGAGCGAGGGAGCGAGGGGGCGCGGGAGGGCAGGGAGGGCAGGGAAAGCAGGGAGCGACGGGGGGACGGGGAAGGTGGGGGGTTCAAGAGAATGGCAAAACCATGCTGCACCATCGGCCCAAGATAATAGAATGGCCTCCCATTGGTTGCGCCATACTTTGCGCCCTCGGCCGCCGAGGATAAAAGCGGCCAACCATCGGTTGCGCCATAACTAGCTTGTGCCCTCGGCCGCCGAAGATACAAGCGGCCTCCCATGTGTTGCGCCATAGAATGCGCCCTCGGCCGCCGAAGATAAAACGGCCTCCCATTGGTTGCGCCATACAATGCGCCATCGGCCGCCGAAAATAAGAAAACGGCCTCCCGTTGCCCGTTGCGCTATACGTTGCGCCCTCGGCCGCCGAGGATAAAAACGGTCTCCCATCGTTTGCGCAGTTTCCGCCCTTGGCCGCTGAGAAAAAAAATAATACTAATAATAATAAGTATTGTGATGGGTTGCGACAAAAGCTCTGCCCTCGGCCGCCGAGAACGAAACGGCCCCACATCGCTTGTGCAATAGGTTGCGCCCTCGGCCGCCGAGACCAAAGGTTGCGACATAAGTTGCGCCCTCAACCGCCTACAAAAAAACGTCTCCCCTTGTTTGCGCAATAGGTTGCGCCCTCGGCCGCCGAGAAAAAAACTACCTCCTAACAGGTGCGACCAATCAGTCAGTTCAGTTCACTAAGTTCAGTTCAGTCCACTGGTCGAGATACAAATTCAGGCTACGCCCGAAATTAAGGCGGGTTGATGACGACGACACAGAATACGCCGCGCGAAACCCCTCTGGCGTGCGGCGTCCCCGCAGCAAGTTCAAACTCCATAGCGCTCGCCCAAGTCCGACAAGGGGTGGGGCGGGTTCAAAACGAGGGCACAACAATGAAAATGACAGAAAAAAACAACTTCCGCCAACTTCCGCCGCTTCCTCCCCTAACTTACAAATTATCGACAGCAGTTAGCACCCAAAGTTACCGATGACAAAAGGTAGCGAAGTTAGCGTACTTCTGCGTAGTTGTAAGAACATGTCAGTACAACGTAATTCGACGCATTCGTAGCTTAGCTACCATAACTCGCAGGAGCTTGTCTTCGGTATCTCAAGATGGCGCTCCTGCCAGCGGGCCGGACGGCCCTGCCGGCCGTAAGTCAAAAAGTGGCGACCCTCACGAGGATGGCGCCCCTGCCAGTGGGCCAGAGGCCCCCGCCGGCTCTGCGGGCCAGCTGTGGGCAGGGCGCACTGGCCCTCGAAAAATGTCGACCCTCACGAGGAAGGCGCCTCGGCCTTCGAAAAGGGGCGACCCTCACGAGCATGGCGCCCCTCCTGGCATGCCGGAAGCCCACTGCGGGCCGGGGCGCCCTTGCCCTCGGAGGGCGGCGACCTCCCCGAGGGTGGCGCTCCTCCCCGCGGGCCAGGCGCGTTCGCCACAAAAATACTGAATGGGGCCCTGGGACACACAAACAAATACACACAAATAACAGGATTCCCCATATTTCCCCATATGTTCTGGGTTTCTGTCTTCCCCCCCACTTCCCATAGTTTCCCATATTTTCCTGGGAGTCGACGATGAATTGTGTCTGCGTGTGTTTTTACCCCTCCTGAAATACACAGAGCCTCGCATGGATGGCGCCCCTCCCGGTGGGCTGGTGGCCGCTGCCGGCTCTGTGGGCCAGCTGTGGGCCGGGCGCCCTGGCCCTCAAAAAGTGTCGACCCTCGCGAGGATGGTGCTCCTCCCAACGGGCTGCGGGGCTCTGCCGGCTCCGTGGGCCAGCTGTAGGCTGGGCGCCCCTGGCTTTCGAGAAGAGGCGACCCTCCCAGCGATGGCACCCCTCCTGGTGGGCTGGAATAAGGGGCCACATGTGAGCCCTACCCCTACCCCCCTCAGAAATCGTGGGGGGTAGGGGTAGGGCTCACAGCCTCCTATGGAAACCTCTGCTGGCCCAGTGGGCCAAACGTGGGCCGGGCGCGTTGCATCGACCCTCACACAAGGGATGGCGCCCCTCCCGGTGGGCCGAAAGCCTCGACCGGCTCCGTGGGCCGGGCGCCTCGGCCTTCGAGAAGTGGCGACGCTCGACAGGTGCGACCTCTCACGAGTGAAGGGGCCCCAGAACACACAAATCAATACACACAAACAAAAAGATTCCCCATAGTTTCCCATACTTTCTGGGCTTCTGTCTCCCCCCCACTTCCCATAGTTTCCCATCTTTCCTGGGAGTCGACGATTCATTGTGTCTGTGCGTTTTTTCCCCTCCTGAACGAGGACGGCACGCCTCCCGGTGGGCGGGAGGCCACTGCCGGCTCTCCAGGGGCCAGCTGTGTGGCCAGGCGCTGTGGCCCCCGAAAGGCGGCGAGCCTCACGAGGAGGGCGCCCCACCTGGCGGGCCCGAGGCCTCTGCCAGCTCTGCGGGCCAGCCGTGGGCCGGGTGCACCAGCTCTCGAAAAATGGCGACCCTCACTCAAGGGGCCCAAGGACACACAAAGAAATACACACACATAAAAATGAGTCCCCAGATTTGTCCTGTATGTTCTGGGTTTCTGTCTTCCCCCCCACTTCCCATAGTTTCCCATATTTTCCTGGGAGTCGACGATGAATTGTGTCTGTGTGTTTGTTCCCCTCCTGAAACATGGCGACCCTCGCGGGGACGGCGCTCCTCCCAGCGGGCATGGAGGCCTCTGCCGGCTAACTGTGGGCCAGCTGTGGGCCCGGTGGCTTCGGCGTCCGAAAAAGGTGGCGACCCTCTCACAAAGATGGCTCCCCTGCCGGCGAGCAACTGCTCGGGGGCGGCGACGGCGGCGCACGAGCACCCGTCGGCCGTGGCTTCCATCCCGGAGGCGGGGGTTTCCCCGTTGGCAAGTTCGAAGGCGGCTCCTTCCGCGCTCCTCCTGGCGGGCCAGAAGCCTCTGCCGGCTCCGAGGGCCCGCTGAGGGGCCAAAACCGGCGGCGCTCACGAAGGTGGCGTGCCTCCCAGCGGACTCTGGAGGGCCCTGCGAGCTCCGAAGGCCAGCTGTGGGCCTGGCGCTTTTTGGTCTTCGAGGAGCGGCGACCCTCACGGGGATGGCGCCCCTCCTGGTGGGCGGGAGGCCTCGGCCAGCTCTGTCGGCCAGCTGCGGGCCTGGCGCCCTGGCCTTTGAGAAGCGGCGAGCGGCCCTCACGAGCGCTAGCTGTGAACCAGGCGCCCTGGCTGTCGAGCAAAAGAGAAATCTGGACCCGATGTTGGGGTAATGTTTTCATGGGCACTTTTCGAAGCGCCCCTGGTGGAGACCAACCACCCTTGCCCAAACTTGGGGTTCTACCTGCGAGAACCTCGAGGAAAACTGCCCGCATTTCCACGCATGCGCGCGGTACGTACAAGGCGTTCAACCGCGCCAAGGAGGCCTGCCCACGGCTTCGGCGACGCACCCCTGGAGTGGCACCAGAAGAGCATCAGGGCATGCGGCACGAAGACGAGCAGCCAGCCTGCGTCCGACGTAAGACTTCCTTTCTGCCGCGGACCCAGCGAGCACGCAGGCTGGACGATCGGCCCATGGCCACTGCAAGAGACTGGAAACACGGCCACGGTCCCTGCATTCTTCGCGTGTGTGTGAGTGTGATTTCGGGCCCTGCGACACGGAAGCCGCTGACACGGTGAGCACCCATGGGCGTACACGCGAAGCAGGGTCGGGTGGAACAGCCCTCCGATATATATATATATATATATATATATATATATATTGTGTGTGTATATACATACATACATGCATATACATATACATATACATATATGTATACACAGGTATGTATAAACACAAACAAATATATACACAAATACAAACACATACATCTATATATATATATATGTGTATACATATACATATACATTTACATAATCATATACATACACATACACATACACATACACGTACGCACACACATACGCATACAAATATACATATGCACATATATATATATGTATATATATACATAAACATAAACATAAACATAAGCATAAACATAAACATAAACATAGACCTATACATATACATATACATACACATATACACATACATATACATAAACATAAACATAAACATATGCACATATCTATACATGTACATGTACAGTTACCTATACATATACATTTACCTATACATATACATATACATATACATATACATATACAGCTACAGCTACATACACATATACATATACATATACATATACATATACATATACAAATACATATACACATACATATATATATATACATAAATATACATATGCATATACATATACATATACATATGCATATACATATACATATTCATATACGTATACAGAAACATATGCATATACATGTACATGTATATGTGCATGTATATATTTATATACATATACATATACATATACATATACATATACATATACATATACATATATGTGCACATATACAGATGCAAATACACGTACACCTATACATGTACAAATACATATACATACACATATACATATACATACGCTGAAGCCAAAACGCGCAGGATACACGTTGAGCGCGGAGCACTGAACCTTAGGTCGAGCATGTCCTCCTACAGGCGGATAGTTGTCGAAAAATGAAACATTACCCACACACACACACAAAAAAAAACGAGCCTGGCGAAAACCCCAACCATACGCAAGTGTGAATACCGCTGTTGTGGGTATCGCTTTCGGGGGCCTTAGGTGAAGTTCCCTATGGGGCCACGAAGCGCTGCACGAAGCGCTGTGCTGGATGGGGGAGACCCATGTGAACACCGCCATTGGGGCCTTAAGTGGAGCGCCATATGTGGCCACGAAACGCTGTGCTGGGAGGGGGAGACGCATGTGGGCACCGCCACTGAGGCCTTAGGTGGAGCTCCCTATGGGGCCACGGAGCACTGTGTTGGGCGGGGGAGACGCATGTGAACCCCGCCACGGCGACCTTAGGTGGAGCTCCCTATGCGGCCACGAAGCGCTGTGCTGGGTGAGGGAGACGCATGTGGACACCGATACTGGTGTTTTAGGTGGAGTTCCCTATGGAGCCACGAAACGTTGTGCTGGGTGGGGGAGACGCATGTGGACACCGCCATTGGGGCCTTAGTTGGAGCTCCCCATGGGGCCACGAAGCGCTGCGCTGGGTGGGGGGAACGCATGCGGACACTGCCACTGGGGCCCCAGGTGGAGCTCACTCTAGGGCCACGAACCGCTGCGCGGGGTGGGGGAGACGCATGTGGACACCGCCACTGGGGCCCCATGTGGAGCTCACTCTAGGGCCACGACACGCTGTGCTGGATGGGGGAGACACATGTGGACACCGCCACTGGACCGTATGCGGAGCTCCCTATGGGGCCACGAAACGCTGTGCTGGGTGGGGGAGGCGCATGTGGACACCGCCACTCGGGCCTTAAGTGGAGCTCCCTTTGGGGCCAAAAAACACTGTGCTGGGTAAGGGAGACCCATGTGAACACCGCCATTGCTTAGGTGGAGCACCCTATGGGGTCACGAAACGCCGCACTGGGTGGGGGAGACGCATGTGGACACCGCCACTGGTACTTTAGGTGGAGCCCCCTATGGAGCCACGAAGCGCTGTGCTGGGTTGGGGAAACGCATGTGGACACCGCCGCTGGGACCTTAGGTGGACTCCCGCATGTGGCCACGATACATTGTGCTCGATGGGGGAAACCCATGTGGACACCGCCACTGAGGCCTTAGGTGGAGCTCCTTTTGGGGCCACGAGGCGCTGTGCTGGGTGGGGGAGACGACAGAACACCGCCACTGGGACCCCTGGTGGAGCTCCATATGGGCCACGACACGCTGTACTAGCTGGGGGAGACCCATGTGGACACCGCCACTGGGACCTTTGGTGGAGCTCCCTAAAGGCCACGAAACGCTGTGCTGGGTAAGCGAGACGCATGTGGACACCGCAACTGGTGTTTTAGGTGGAGGTCCCTATGGGGCCACGAAACGCTGTGATGGCTGTGATGGGTGGGGGAGACGCATGTGGACACCGCCACTGGGACCTTAGGTGGAGCCCCCTACGGGACCAGGAAGCGGTATGCTGGGTGGGGGAGACGCATGTGGACACGCCACGGGGGCCTTGGGTGGAGCTCCCTATGGGGCCACGAAACGCCGTACTGGGTGGGGGAGACGCATGTGGACACCGCCACTGGGGCCCCATGTGGAGCTCCTCATGTGGCCACGAAACGCTCAGGAAATGCGCAGGGCAGAGGCAAGGATGGGAGGAGGGAGGAGGGGGAGGAGGAAGGAAGGAAGGAGGGAGGGAAGGAACGCGGGGACCGTCTCTTCAAAACGAGGACCCAGCACCACTGGATGGTTGGGAATACTATAGAGGCACACGAAAAGTCGTCACCTGACGAAAGCTTTACGATTCTTGAAAACTCTTCCTGCAGAGGGACATGCCCGGCGGAAAACCTAACGCGTGCAGCAGCGCACTCCCAACGACACGCTAGAGACCAGGGACCGGGGCCGCAGGGGTACGGGGGGCGAGGGGCGGCCGCGGCGAGAGCAGGGCGGGAGGCCCACCCCAAAGCCGGACCAGCGCGTTCCACGACTCGCAGAGTGAGCACTCGCATACGATTTACGCTGCACTACATACGATTACGCTCCTCCTACATACACGAGAGGTTTACGCTGCACTGCATACGATTTACGCTGCACTACATACGATTGCCGCCGCGAGGGATTTACGATGCACTACATACGATTTACGCTCCTCCTTGGCCCCTTCCGCTGCCTTCCTCGGCGTGACCTTCGGTGCGACCCTGGGTGGAACCTTGGGTGCGACCTGGGACAGCTTAGGCAGACCATCCGAGGAGCATCCGACGCGAGGCCGCATTGATACCAGAAAGGCGCGCAACGGGATCAAGGTCTTAATATACAATCGGGGCGAGGGGTTTCTTCATAAGCGTGGGGGGGCACCCCCCCGACGGGGGGTCAACCTCGCCTCGTCGTCGCGCCGCGACGGGGGTCGGAGCGCCCTCGGCGCGCGGTGGCTGCCCGCGACGGGGGTCGATGCGGGGCTGTCGGCAGGGGTGACGCCCCTCCGACGCTTATTGAGAAACTCGGAGTGGAGGAAGACATGTTTTTTTGCTCTGACGTTTACGAGCAGGCACTTTGCTAGGCGGCGAGCGAGGGAGGGAAGTGAGAAGGAGAAGGCCTCCTCAGAAGGCGGCGGGACTTCTCAGAAGCCCCCGCGCCTTCTGAGAAGTGTTCTGCGTCTTCGGGGAAGGCTTAGAAAATCTCTCAGGAGGCCAGCGCAATTTCGGAGCCTTCTGCGAAGGCCCGCCCCTTCTCGCTTCCATCCTCGCTCGCCGCCGACCTCTCAGAAGCCCCCGCGCCTTCTGAGAAGTGTTCTGCGTCTTCGGGGAATGCTTCGAGAAAACCTCTCGGGAGGCCGGGGCAATTTCGGAGCCTTCTGCGGAGGCCCGCCCCTTCTCGCTCCCCCCCTCGCTCGCCGCCGCCCTTTGCGAGGCGTGGAGCGCAGTCGGCGAGAAGCCGAGCACACAGAGGCGCACGGCGCGAGCGCGGGCGGGACGGCTCCCCGGGCACACGGGCGCGCGAGCTGCGGCCCGCGGCCCTGCGGCGGCCCGGAGAGGCCCCCTCCCCGGCCTCGGGCCGACCCCGGGCCCTCCCTCGAGGGGGAGCGACTCGCCACCGCTCGGGCGCCCATGCCCTGAGCACTTTTGTTCGGTGTGTCGCGCGCATGTGTTTGTCTCGGTTGCTCGGTGGTCCAGGATGCTCCCCGACGGTCCTCGCCGAGGAAGAATGCGCACGTCCGAGCGATGCCGGGAGGATAGGGGGAACAAGCTCAGGGGGGGAGCATCGAGCCTGAGTCGGGAGTACGTTGCCGGTAGACCGGCGACAGGCCCCCGACAGAGAAACCGCACGTTCCTGGGCGGGGTGGGCATCAGGCCCCTATCGGCGACGAGTGGGCGATTGGGAGTCGACGTGTTCCCCCCTGTTCCAATTCCCCCCTGACATTGCCCCTGATAAGTCCTCACTCCCTGTCCCCCGCGTTTCTGGCCCTAGGATGGGCAGGTCCTCCTCCAGGCGGATGTTGGAAGAAAGATCCAAAATAGCCGAAACATGCAAAAATAGCCGTAAGAGCACGGAAAATCGCCCCCCGACTATTTTGCTGCCATTCTTGAATACTCCTCCTGTAGAGGGACATGCCCGACTCAATCCTGGCCCCCATCCGTGCCGGCACGATGGGCGGATGCCGACACGAACGACTCCGCGCTGAAGGGCTCGAAGTCGTCGAAGTGCTCGCCGGTGCCTCGGCGGCCCCTCTCGCCGTTGGCACCATCGCGCCGTCGCCGTCGCCGTCGCCGCGCAGCCGTTGCTGCCGCTGCCGTCGTCGCCGTCGCCGTCGTGGCCGTCGCCGTCGCCATCTTTTCTTTGGCGGCGAGCGAGGGGGGGAAGCGAGAAGGAGAAGGCCTCCTCGGAAGGCGGCGGGACTTCTCAGAAACCCGCGCGCCGTCCGAGAAGAGTTTTGTGTCTTCGGGGAAGGCTTTGAGAAAACCTCTCAGGAGGCCGGGGCAATTTCGGAGCCTTCTGCGAAGGCCCGCCCCTTCTCGCTTCCCCCCTCGCTCGCCGCCGATTCCTGCCCTCTTCTCTGGGCGCCGCTGGATCCGCGTCGAGAGCCAATGCCAAAATGCGCTCCAGGAGAGGCCCCAGGCTCGACCGGGGGCGTCGTCGGCGTCGTCGTCGGTCGTCGTGGTCATCGTCGCCGCCGAACCCGTCGCCGTCGCCGTCGCCGCCGCCTTCGGGCCTTCTCTGGGCCTGGGGGCGGGCTCGTCGCTACTGCTGGACGCGGCTCGAGGAAGCTGGCCAGGACGGCGTCCTGCAGGCGTCTCGCCGTGCGCCGCTCTTGCAGGGCAGTGTCCTGCAGGCGACGTCGCTGCAGCAGCACGCGGACACAGAGGCGCAGGTGCGGGGACCACAAGAGCACGAGAACGAGAACGGGGAGCACGACGACTTAAAGGATAGACCTCCGTGATGTTTCTTGGTTTTGTTGCTCTCTCTCTCTCTCTCTCTCCTTCCCCGCCTCCTCATCCTCCTCCTCCTCGTCCTCCTCCTCGTCCTCCTCCTCCTCCTCCTCCTACTCCTCCTCCTTGTCCTCCTCTGCTGTTTTTGCACGTCGCGATGGAGCTACACCAGCGGAGATCAGCCAGGAGGAGGATGCTGATCATCAGCATTACTCCTCCGCTCCTCCTCCTCCTCCTCCTCCTCCTCCTCCTCCTACTCCTCCTCCTCCTCTCCTCGTCCTCCTCTCTCCTCCCCCTCCTCCCCTCCTCCTCCTCCTCTCCTCCTCCTCCTCCTCCTCATGCGCCTCCTCCTCCCATCCTCCTCCTCCTCCTCCTCCCTCCTCCTCCTCCTCCTCCTCCTGTTCCTCCTCCTCCTCCTCCTCCTCCTCCTCCTCCTCCTCCTCCTCCTCCTCCGTTACGATTCCCCTCCCCAGGTCCCTGGTGAAAGTTTTCCCCTGCACTTGGGGTTAAGAAGGAAGTGGTCCGGAGAGACCGAAAACGGACAGTGGGTCCATCGGCCTGCAATCGAGCTGCCGCGTGAGTACTGCGGAGGGGCGCCGAGACGCCGCTGATTCACGACGGTGGAAAAAACGGAACAACAGGACATGAAACCTTGTAATGCCCAGGGGGAGAAGGAGGCTCTGGGGTACCCTTGCCGTCGCGCACTCCTCTGTGCCATAGGGGGGGTTCTTCCTGTCCAATGTTCCTCGCCCTTTTCCTCAACCTTCGTGCACGCACTGGTTGTGCATTCGTTGTGGTCGATCGAGCGCTGCGCTCCGGTCTTGTTGCTTCTCGGATCGCGGCCGTCAAGACGCGACGGTTCACGCCAGCCAACGCTGGTGCAACGCGAAAAGGATGAGGAGTAACTGCCCCGGAGCCCGAAAATTACAATCAAAATCCATGATGCCGTTTCGACCCCCCCCAGCGCATTTGAAGGGGCCCCAGGACACACAAATAAATACACACAAATAAAAGGATTCCCCATGTTCTCCGATATGTTCTGGGTTTCTGTTTTCCCCCCCACTTCCCATATTTTCGCACATTCTCCTGGGGATCGACGATTAATTGTGTCTGTGTGTTTTTGTCCCTCCTGAGCATTCTCCCCTCCAGAGCCCGCCGCTCGCCTATGAAGATCACGGGCGAGTTCGTGGCCGCCACCGCCGACAGCGCACCTCCGGGGCAAAGATCTCCCTGCCACCAGATTCCCTCCTCCTCCTCCTCCTCCTCCTCCTCCTCCTCCTCCTCCTCCTCGCCTCCATACCCCACGTTCCAATCCTGCCCATGATGTGATAGAAGATCTGCCGAACTCGCCGTCAGCCTCGTCTTCCCCCCTTTTCCTCGTCGCCCTCGTCGTCATTGCCAATGTTGCCAGAATCATGCCCGTTATGACCGTCACCATCACCACCACCACCACCCATCACCACCACCATCATCACCACCACCACCACCATCACCATCGCCATCATAATAACCATCATCATCGTCATCGTCATAGTTATTATTATTATCATCATCATCATCATCATCATCATCATCATCATCATCATCATCATCAGCATCATCATCATCATCATCAGCATCAGAATCAGCATCAGCATCGTCATCGTCATCGTTATCGTCATCGTTATCATCATCATCGTCGTCCTCATCATCATCATCATCATCATCATCATCATCACCATCATCATCACCATCATCATCATCATCATCATCATCATCACCATCAGCATCACCATCATCTTCACCATCATCGTCACCATCGTCACCATCAGCATCAAGAACAACATCACCATATCACCACCATACCACTACAAATTCATGATCTGCTCATCATACATTCACCACGAACCGGGCACCTTCATGGAAAGGAGGCAATGGCACATGAAATCATGATTCAACTCGTGCCATGACCAGGGCCAAACATGCTTACAAGACACCGTATTCACCCCGCCGAACACAGGGCTGCTGCACCTCGACTGCGGCGCCAGCGAGGGGGGGGCACGGCTGAACCAGTTCTGAGACTTCAAGCCCTCTGCAGCAGGCTGAGCCGTGGGCTTCCACAATTGGCACTACGCGAGATTGACCGAACAATGCCGCGAGGGGCGTTTCACTTTGAGCAGATCCGCTTTGTGAGCAAGAGATCGCCACGTCAGGGTGGTACGAGCCTGCGGGACGGCTGTGCCTGCCAGTTACTGACGTGCTCCTGTTTGGTATCTGATCACGCTCAGCCGAGCTTGGGGAATGCTACTTTTTCCTGCGAGATCCTCTGACAGGGTGAGCAAAATTGCCTCTAGGCGCTTCGCAAACCATCACTGCGGATCCTGCCGCGCGCAAAATCTTTGAAAACACCTTGTTCACCGTGACATTCGTGCCGTTCATTGTGAGAATCGGCGTCGGGATGCCCTTCGGGGACAGATGCTTGATCGGGCGAGGCCCTTCGTGCTGAAGAGCTTCCAGGAGTTGGTTCTCGAGTGCCTCGCCGTCTGGCAGAAGTGTGCGACCGTCCAGATGGTAGGTGAGCCCTTCCTTGGCGTCGTTCCCAGACTTGTCGCAAGTTGGGAGCCACATCATCTCGCAAACCAGGCTTCCCCAGCATGAACCGTAGCGGCTCGAGCAACTCCCGAGTATCCAGCCTGCGCTCCGCCATGCCCGTGAAGCAGAAGCTCGCTAAAGCGATCAGAAGTTAGTAGAAGCCTTGGAATATCGGCGCGCCTATGTCCTCATCTGTCTTCTCCTTGCGCTTCTTGATGAAGTCCTGGTACGATGTGGTCCCTACTTTGCACAGCGGGCTCTTGCGCTGCACCATCGCCGTCGACAGCGCCTGATGCCTCAACGTGCAAATCCGAGACTCGAGCTGTATGAGGAGAGACTACACGTCCGCGGAGGTGCCGTTCAGGGCTTGTTCCTCGTCGTCTTCGTTCATTTCCTCTGCCTCTCCATCTGCCCGCTGCTGTGCTCGTTCCGCTTGTTTGGCGCGGCCCCCTGCTGCTACGGCGAAGCTGGCGCATACGGGTCGTACTAGATGTTCGCAATCATCCCATCTTCGTAAACAGCAGCAGTATCGTCATCATCATTGTCGTCCTCATCAACACTACCACCACCACCACAACCACCACCACCACCATCATCATCATCATCATCATCATCATCATCATCATCATCATCATCATCAGCAGCAGCATCATCAGCATCATCATCAACGTCATCATCAGCAGCATCACCATCCTCATCATCATCATCATCAGCATCATCATCATCATCGTCATCAGCATCATCATCGTCATCAAAATCCGTATCCGAAATCCGCATCAGCAGCATCAGCATCAGCATCATCACTTCTATCAACATCATCATCATCATCATCATCATCATCATCATCATCAGCAGCATCATCATCATCATCATCATCGTCGTCGTTGTCGTCGTCGTCGTCACCATCACCATCAATATCACCAGTATCAGCATCAGGAACATCACCACCATCACCACCACCGCAACCATCACAATAAGAATCAGAATCATCATCGTCGTCGTCGGCATCATCACCACCACCACTATCAGTATCATCAGCAGCATCAGCATCACACGAATCACAATCCACATCAACAACGATACCGCCATCATCATCATCATCATCATCATCATCAGCATCATCATCATCATCATCATCCTCATCCTCAGCAGCAGCAGCCGCAGCAGCACCATCATCATCATCAGCATCAGCATCAGCATCATCATCGTCATCATCATCCTCATGGGCATAATCATTGTCGTCGTCAGCATCACCCATCATCAGCATCATCATCACCAGTAGCAGCAGCGCATCGGCATAATCATCGCCGTCGTCGCCATCAGCTGACCAGCATCATCGTCGTCATCATCAGCATCACCAACACCACAACCATCACCATCAGCATCATGAACCTCGCAAGTATCATTACGTGCTGCCATCATCATCATCATCATCATCATCATCATCATCATCAGCATCATCATCATCAAAAGAATCATCATCATCAGCGCATCTTCATCATCATCATCATCAGCAGCATCATCATCATCAAAAGAATCATCATCATCAGCGCATCTTCATCATCATCATCAGCAGCAGCAGCATCATCATCCTCATCATCATCATCAGCAGCAGCATCATCATTATCAACATAATCAGCAGCATCAGCATCATCAACATAATCATCATCAGCAGCATCGTCGTCGTCGTTATCATCGTCATCGTCAGCATCAGCATCATCAGCATCATCATCGTCGCCGTCAGTCGCATCAGCATCATCAGCAGCAGCAGCATCATCATCATGGTCATCATCATCGTCATCATCAGCATCATCCTCATCATCGTCGTCTTCAGTCGCAGCATCATCATCATCATCATCATCATCATCATCATCATCATCATCATTCGAAGTATCAGCATCATCATCATCATCATCATCATCAGGAGCAGCACCAGCAGCAGCAGCAGCAGCAGCACATCATTCATCCCTCCTCATCCTCCTTCTTCTGCTCCTCTTCCGCCCCCTCCTCCTCCCCACTCACTCTTCTTCTCTTGCTTCCTCCTCCTCCTCCTCCTCCTCCTCCTCTTCCTCCTCCTCCTCTTCCTCTTCCTCCTCCTCCTCCTCCTCCTCCTCCTCCTCCTCCTCCTCCTCCCATCTCTCCCTCCCTCCCTCCTCCTCAGGCGGCGCGCCCCGCCATGCGGCTCCGCGCAGCTGGTCATCCTGTGCTGGGTCGTGCACGCCGCCGCAGGAGCCCAGCGTGGCATGCGGCTGCAGTCGAAGTTTAATAAGACAGGAAACGCGAGAGGACACAAGACCCTTCCGAAGGCCACATTGCCACAGGAGTGTAGGAGGCATGGGTCGCGAGATGCAGGACGCAAAGGTATCCTTGCCTTGGCAGTGTCGACCTACTAATCAGGGCCGACTGTGCAGCTCCGGCATGCGGCTTCGCTCGCGCCGGCGACGCCGCCATCGCGCAGACTGCAGCGGGCCCCCGGCTTGAAGGTGCAGTTCCTGCCGCTCCAGCTCCAGTCGTTCCTCCTCGTGTCCTCGGCGCTGCGGGTGGAGTCTCTGGTGAAGCAGTTGGTGACTCCCCGCCCGCGCTGAGGGAGTCGGCTGCGGTGCTCACGCCGAGGCCGGTGGCGCATACGGGTATATCGACGTGCTGCTTCAGGAGGGAGGAGGGGGAGGAGGAGGAGGAGGAGGAGGAGGAGGAGGAGGAGCGTGGAGCAGCCACGGATCACGGATCCTCTCGTCGTCGGAGTTCGTTTTTTCCTGTCGGTCGGTCTCGGCGTCGCAGGCTGCGGGCAGCCCGTGGACGCGTGCACGGGCACGCAGGTCGGCGGCGCTGCGTGCCCGCGGAAGCCCTGGAAGTGTCAAAACAGAACAGAACGAACAAAACTGCACTCACACGAAACAAACTGCACTCGGAGCCTGCCGAGCGGCACGCAGGGGATACGTGGACGAAACAAAAAGGAAACAAAAAAAGAGGGGGGGAGGGAAGATACATGGATACCAAAAAAACAGTTTTCCCGAAGTGCTGGGAAAGTCCGAGGTGGAAACCGAGGAGCCCAAAAGGTGCCGCAGGAGGAGGCTCGGGGGGGGCCGCCGCCTCGGGGACTCCGCGGGGGGATGTCTTCTGCCCTCGCCACCAGCGCTCCCCGCCGCCCTTTGCGGGCACGTGGACCTCCGTGGTGCTGCCGTGGGATCCTGAGGCAATGTCGGGCGTGTCCCCCTACAGGGGGATTTTCGACGGAAAACAAGAAATACTCCAAACATAATCAAAAAAGGGTCCAAACATAGTCTGGGGACTATTTGTGGAGTATTTCTTTACCTCTTTGGAGTACTTTTGGGGTATTTCTCATTTTTCGTCGACAATCCCCCTGCAGGGGGACACGCCCGACTTAATCCTGAGGCAAAGGGCCACCGTTCGCCACGCTTTTTGCGTCGGCGGCTGGGCAGAGGGACTGCTCCGGCGATGTGGCACAAGTGGGGCACACAAAACGCGAATTAAAAGCCGCAGGGCGCGCGGGAGGAGAGAGGAGGCCCGGCGCGAGCGGAAGGTAGAGAGGAAGCCGGGCCCGCTCAGAGCAGGGCCAGGCTGCGGCGGGGTGGGCGCCGGGGCGGGGGGCCAGCGGCGGCGGCGAGGCTGCCGGTTGGGGCAGGCAGCCGGCGGGCAGCCAGGCACAGCCGAGGGGGGGTGGCAGGTCTAGCGCAAGCCTCTTCTTCCTGGGTGACTTCTTCACCTTCAGCTGGTTCGTGGCCACCGCCGTCCCGTCGAGACTCTGGACTTCCGCCTCTTCAGTTCGCTGATGACGATGCCCAGGATGAGGACACTTTGAACGAGTACGGCCTCAGCGGCTTCGACTTCAAGGTGCTAGGATCCAGCCCAGCGGCTGGTGTTCTTCGCGCTGCAGCCGTACTTCCCCCTGGTGCTGCTGTACATTGTCGTGGTGATGTACGGGTTCATCCTCGAGGC